ACTCCCAGCTTCAAACACATAATTTTAGCTCAATATCTGTAAAATTGAAGTCACATCCTTTTCTGTGTTTGCCAAGAACAATCAGGTGTGGTGATCATCATTAATTAGACTGACTCCAAAAGTTWATCAGCTTTAGKTGTCGATGAAGTGATGCGTTTCAGGTCGTTTCATTAAAATATGTGCAGTGGTCTGTGAAATATTTTGCTAACAGACAAAGTAGTCGTGTCGGTTTTATCTGCTACCACACCAAACCGAAGCTCAGTTGATGTCATTCAGCACTTCCTCATACCTTTATATTGTATTATGAGCTTAAAAGGAAAATTTTTTTTTTAAACTGACGCTTATCTTTTGAAACACAAATGTGACTTCAAGTRTGCTCATACCATTCCTGGCTGCTCGCATCCTGCTGACTCAGTCATGATTACCCTCTGTTTAAGCTGCTTACTTTTTAGCTTCCAGGCTAAATGCTGTCATGACAGGAGTTTTTTTTTAATCACTCGGCAAGGGTAGGACGTGAAGACAAAAGCTAAATAAAAATGAAAGAATTCTCACAACTTTCAGTAACCGAATATCGGTTTTTAGTTTTATTCTTTTCACAAAATCGGTCTCCGTGCTGGACAAAGACACAGATCACCTGATGAGGTCTGGCAGGAACCAGCTGTGCCCTCGGAGGTGAGTCAGGCTTTGTTTCGAACAGGCCTCTAGTTAAGTTGAAGGGTGGGGGGGGGTTGCTATGATAAGGCTGGTAACAGCTCACTTGTTTCCAGAAAATCTGTTGTGTCATCACTGTGAGGCGTTTATTAAGCATCAAACGTCTCCCAAGGGTGCACGATCACAGTCAATGGAAAAGAAAAATGTTTAACTGAGCTGGAAATGTGAATCCCCGGTGATCCGTTTCACAGCGCGGAAACCTCCGCAGATCAAATTACAGCRCGCTGACTTGGCTCGTATAATCGTTTTTAAATGGAAATGGACGCTTTGGATTGAGCGGAACATAGGGGACAATAAGAGGGACGACAACCTGTWGGTGTCAAAGCTGGAAGGAAAAAGGATCAAAACGAGAAATTTTCAAAAGTCAATCTTCAGATATTTGATCCACCAGACGACACAAAACYCAAGCGGCCTGGCTGATGAAGGTGTTTCTATTATATTTTTTTTATACATTTTTCTAATCTAAATATTATTTTTCATGATCAAGCAGGAGGCAGTGTTTTTGCATGTGTGTGTTCATTTGACTGTTAGCAAAATGTCTAAAAACACACTGGTCCGTTTTTAATGAAATTCTGAGAAATTATTCACTGGATGGACATCTACACAGAGGCTGTGTCCAAATTCAGGGGCTGCATCCTTCAAAGGCCAAAAGTAAAGGCCAATTAGGTCAAAGCGATGCGCTAAAGGCTGTCTAAATTCAAATTTGCGACCCACAAATGCGTCTTCTTTAGGCGCTGATTGGAGGGACGGGTCTGGTGTATCCTTCACAGCTCACCCGATCCCAAGATGCATTGCCAACCGAGAGATTCACAGCCACTTTTTCTGGTCTTCGAGGTTGACAAGGGACCCRGCCCACATTGAGTAGACCGGATCCTTCGAAGGACGCAGCCTTTGAGTTTGGACACAGTCATTCAAGATGGCCACCACAGCTAAGCAAACTTGAAGGCACAGTGTGTAGGATTTGTTGTTTTCAGCGACATCTAGTGGTTGAGTGGTTGAATCATCCTCCCTGGTCCTCCCCCCACCCCCACCCCCCGCTTCCAAAC